AATTTGAAAAAGATGTCCAATGTGCAAATGTCCATGAAAGACATCAATATTGCTGCTGAGGGCTATCTCCTTTTTAAAAAGGCACTAAATGTCTTTATACTTTACCAAGGGTTTTTTTAGGGGCTGAAGGATATTTCTTGGGACCTGGTCCTGAACTCAGCTGCTTTTAGACCCTTCATTTTTAAAGTGTTCTATGAAGGGCTATTAGTACCTTCTGACCAGAAAACATTATTGGTAGAAAGAGAAGAGGAAAGTACACATTAAAAAGATACTACCTTTCTGAAGAGTTCTCTCTGTTCATTTTTTATTGGATCCAGCTAGAATAACAAAAATAATTTCATTTGGAGGAGGTCAAATATTTTGAGATGCCAGTTTGTTTTTTTTTTTTCTTCCCTGAAAAAGAAAACACAAGTGAAACACAAGGGAAACAAAAAAAAATCAGCTGCTGTGCTTATAGCAAGGAAATCTGTTTATGTATGATTTGAAATCAGAGCAGAGTTTCACTTCATTCTGTCTCGTGTTGTTGTGTTTCATATTTCATGCTTTGGTTAACACTTATTTAGTCTATTCCTGGAGGCTGTGACAGGTTGTGTTGAAAGTTTTTAGACTTGCTGAGCATACACTCTCCACAGAGCATGTCAAAATGAGAGGAACAAAGAATTCATTCATTTTTATGCAAAACAAAAAAAGAAATCCTTTTAATAGTTTAAAGACCCAGCCTTTTCTCCTGACATTGTAATATCAAACATGTAAGCCATCAGCACACAAACCGTCCACAGCTTGAAGAAAACAAAACAATTATGTATGGAATTTCCTTTCTGTAATTCAAAGAAATGTAAGTGCAAGATTTGGTTCTCCTGAATTCAGGTGAAATAAAAATTTAAGTGTATTAATTTATCCCCCCCAAATGCCTTTTTCAGCCAATTCTAATTTTAGCCAGTTTCAGTGGCTTTATAAAGGCTTTTCCTTCTTCCTAGTCACATCTCTGTGGGGAAGGAAGATATGACCAACATTTATTCTGGTGCAAAGTCCTCACTTCTCCCCAGATTAGTCTTGGAGCAGTCAGTGTGACTGGAGCATGAATGAGGGTGGTATTAGTGCACTGCTTCTACCCAGCTGAGACTCTGATCTCCTGCCTCAAGGGTTTCACCAGGGTCTAACAGCTGGACATCAGCTGGGATGACTTGAACCCTAATTGTGTCTCTTGTGCTGGTTACTGCTAGGAGGAGGGTAGAGAGATGTGCCAAGGGCTTCCCTGGGCTCTTGGCTCTCTCCTGCTTGGGGACGTTTTGCCTCCCAAGCCTGGGAAGTGACATCAGTGTTGAGTACACTTCACTGTTACCCAGCTCCCTTATCAATCTGTCTCTAAAACATGCAACAGAGAGGCCCTTTAAAAATCACGAGGAAGAGACTCTGCAGCAGTCATTTTGACTTCCAGGCTATTTGAAGGTGTGCACAGAGATACACTCACACACACACCTGCTAAATCACCAGGCAGGCAGTGCAGCACTACTTTTTCATTACTATCTCTGCCCCCCAACCCATCCCTCTGTTTGATGTCCTGGGAAAGGCAATTATCCAATTCCCTTTCCTCGAAGCCTATCTACAGGCTCAGGAAACACTTCACCACACGGGCAGTGTATGACATCTAATAACATCCTCAATCTTGCTTTATAGACATAGCTGCAAACAAATTTATTTTTTTCACAAAAACCTTTGGATTCTCTGAATTTGTCTTCTTTGGATTTCAAGTGTAGATTGTGCATTTTTTGGTCACCCTGTTTGTTGCAGGTGATTTTTTGTGGGTAAAAAATAAAACAAGGAGCAGGGTGAAGGCTGGCATTTCTTATACCAGTGAGCACTGCTGCTTGCTTGAACTGACACTCATCCCTGGTCTCTCCTGCTTGCCTGTGCCATTGAGGTAATTCAACCTGCTGCCGTGTCATTGTTACAATAATCTTGGGCTCCTGGACACCAGTCTGAGTATGACAGTCTCGCAAAAACAACGTCACATTCATCTCAGGCAGGCTGTGTTTCGCCTGTACAGCTTTATTCCCCATGGCTGTCGCGATGACTTCCAGTCATCAGTCCCCTCTGTGGCAGCTCAAGGCTGGGCAGCATGAGAAAGAGGAGCTGGACATGACATTTCCTTCCAGTTATGGCTTTTCTAGACCTACCTTTTTTTTTTTCTTTCTCTCCAAGAGCAAAAATCTTCACTTGTGTTGGTGGTTATTGCCCCCTTCCGTGCTCTGACCTCAGCCATGTGCAAAGCATGGGGACGTCTTCAGGTTTGTCCCTACAGTTCGTCCACCCCTCTCTGCAAAACTCAAACATCTCTTCTTTTCCAACCTGGTTGGGTTTTTGAGAGCTTTCTGCTCTCAATGTCAGGCTCTTTGCAGTTTTGCTTCTTTCTATTTATTGATCTTGATTCTTCCACAAAAGCTAGCATTCCGTAGTCTGTTGTTTTTTTTTTTTAACAAAATAGCTCTCATGCATTTTTCAGTACTGTTTCCCATGCACAGCCTACAATTCCTGATTTATCCACAGGGCCTTAGTTTCTTTCTATCCCTTCTCAGCTTTTGCCAGTAAGGTTTGTTCTATTAGGGGTTCAGAAAAGGGGCAATTGGGATAAATAAAATTTATTTTAAAATATAGGTTCATGCAGTGATATAGGTTCATGTAGTGCCTTTTTTTTTTTTTCCCCTCTGCCTTTTATACTCTGGATGCATTTTTGGTTTATGAACCTTTCCAAATAGTAGTTATACCTTCTTAGACGTGCAAAGAATAATTCAGGACAATTCAGCCCAGTACTGTAGCTCTCACTCCCAGACGAAGTCTCCTTCAGTGAGTGTTGCCAAGGAGGAAAGATGCCCATTAATAGCCTCTCAGCTGCCAGTCAGCCAGCCAGAGGCAGCCAACCCCGCTTTACATCGGGAAGAAATGGCTCACGGAGGAGTCCTGTTGCTGAGCTCTCAGGGATCACTGCTGAGACCCCATGATCTGCTGGGTCTGGTGCATGGGCATGTTGAATGTTGCATGTGCTTGTCCTTGGTGCAATGCAATTGAGGCTGTGCTGCCCCGGAGCCTGGCAGGACTGTGGCAGGTGAGGGTGCTCCGTCAGTGATACCATTGCAGCAGGCAAGCTTGCGGGGGTGAGATGAGGCTTCTCCTGGGATTCTGCCCTGCCCTGCAGAAGTGCAGCTCTCTTGCATTAATTGGTGCTCTCCTCTCACCTAAGATCAGGTCTGAGAAGTGCAAAGGCCTGTGAAAATAAAGAGCTAAAGGGAAGAAATTTATTCCTGTGGATACCAGAGGCCACTGCCACAAGAATGGGAAGCACTATTGTCAGCCTGACAGAGCGGGCCCTTTCTTTGAGATTTTGGACAAAACTGGAAAAGATTATTTGGCAATGTGCAGCCTTTAACTCTGCCTATCCACATCTGGATGTATTTGACCTTCCAGAAAGGTACTTGTCAACCCATGGGCCAGAGCCCACAGGCGTGGGAAAATGGCTGTGAACCACTAGGATTTCAAAGACAAATCAAAGCCGTGTACATCAACCTCACGCCTCATACATCCACTCTAGCAAACAATAATCAAACTTTCCAAGTTTTGTCTAATTTTTATTGGGTTTTACAGTAAAACAACTACAGAAATTAAATTAAAAATTACAGAAATGTTATCTGAGGTGGTCATTTCTGTATTTCACAGAAATGCTTTCTAGCTAAAGCACATTGTAACTGAGAAATCCTGCTCTACAAATCCATCCTCTGCTCAAATTTACATGAACATATTCACGGATTATATCTGACTATGTAAGTTGAAGGAAGCAGTGGTGGTACACAGCAGTGTGAATAGCAGCAAACACCCATTAAGAGCTAGTGTCCCATTAACATCTGGCTAGATGATGCCAATTTGTTTCTGGCTTTGGGGGTTTTTTAAATCATCTCTCACATCCAGTGGCCAAGACAGGGATTGCGTTAGTGGATTAGTGTTGCTAGTGGCTTCAAAATGGATTCCCTTTGCCCAGGCTTCCCAGCTCTTTCCTGTTTGTTTTCTGCAGACATGAGAGCGATGGAGCCTGGATTGCCTGAATTCCCATGAAAAGACCATTTGAAGTCTGCACGCTTGAATACTGCCATATAGCAGAAGTGCTGGGCTGGAATGACAAAGCTCTACAAGAGCCTCAAGCTTAAACTTAATGAGGGACAAAAATTTTTCCTCCACCACTGCTGTGACCATTTCTCTTCAGCCTATGTTCTGCAATTAGTACATTTAAAAGGGACACTGCTTAACACAGTAGGGGTTCAAGTTCACTGGGAAATCTTTCTAGAGCCCAGGCACACAAGCAAGTGAATGAGGTTTTGACTGTGCCTGGAGTAGCAGGTGCCATTATTCCAAGTGAATGTAATAAAAAGATTTCATTTCGGCTCTGAACACAGACAGCAGAGACTGCAGTACCGCAATTTTTCTAAGGCTGAAGCTTTGAGGAAAACCCCTCTGGTTTTATCCAGCAGGACAAAATTTATGTTATCAATTTAAAACTCTTCCCCGATCACAAAATTTGCATTTCTTTTGATAGAGAGAGAAAAAAAAAAACAAACAACATGATACTACTCATGATGAACTCAGCTCTCTTTTGAACAGGCAGGTTGAAATACTTGTAGCAGCCCCTTCACAGTCTATCTGACCTGTTAGGAAAGAAGAAAGATAATAAATTGGACAAGTACATTTGAATTACAAATAAATTAGAGGAAGCCACAATCAAGGTACTGACATTCAGTAAGTGGAAAAAAGAAAGCTTTTGTGTGGGTAAATTATCTACTGTGAATTATTTACTCAGCTCTGCTGTGAAGAGCTCTCAGGATGGGGCAGACAGCAGCAGGTACTTTGTTTGCTGGTTCAAGCTTCTGGTCCTGAGAATCAATCTTCAACCATAAAGAAACACTGCTGACTCTTCAAGTGTAATTTATTCAATAAGATGATTCTTTTCTTTTTAGGAGGAATGCTGCAGAGATCCTTGATTTTCATTTGTCTTTGTCTGAAGATGTAAAATACATTTGCCATATTTACCATTTCAAGCTAATTTCTCAATATATTCATTTATTCATTTGGGATATAGGATTGTGAAGGGCTCTGCTGACTTTCAGACACTGCTATTAAAAATGGAGATAAACCTGCTGAAGAAAATTTACCTCTATTTCTGTACAGCAGGTAAGTTTAAAACCAACTTTATATGAGAGGACCTGGTTTTTTGTATTTTTTTTCATCAAGTGCTTTTTAATATTTGTGAAGAGCAGTGGTCTCCTCTGTTCCCACGACAACTTGCATCTCATGAGGGTCTCATTTCATATGCAGAAATAAAATTTTCTCCAAAGGCATTGGTGCCTCTCAACCCAGCCAAGGCAGCATCAATCCTTCTGCTGCTTTCAAGTCCTTCAAACCAGGAGAAGGGAGTCATGGTTTGGAGGGGTAAAGCATGATATGGGCTGGAATAACACAACCATGAAAGTGCTCCCTGGGACAGGCAGAGCAAGGTGTTCTATACCTTTTGCATCTTTATATTCCAACTCTATATACACTTCAGGTTTATACTGGGTTATTTTTAGGTCATTTCAGGAATATATATTTCTGCAAGAGCTATTTCTGTGAGCTCTGCCAAACTGGAAACTGTAGTAGCTATACATCACCCACAAAGATGTATACCAGGCAGCCACAGTCATTCTCTTCCTTGGTACTCCTCACAGCCCTCAGGGAGAAGACATATCAGTCTGTAAAAAACAAAGTGCCACATAAATGCCCCCAGAAGGTTCTGGAAGAGCCTGGCACTCAGCAGAGCTGCAGACACCCATCCTTGCTGGAAGCAACACACATGCACCCATCACCCAGGCAGGCTCTCCTTGTGTAGACACTGAGGGGGGCAATGTTGGGGTATAGCCCTTGCTGCCCCCTCAGAGCTGCTCTGCTCTGTGTTCTGAGGTGATGAGAAAAGAGGATGGGAGTTATTCATCAGGCTGTGTGAGGCTGTTTGTCTGATAAGCAAGCCCTGCAACGACTGCTGTAACTCCAGATGTTGTGGTTTGCAAGGTTTGGAAATTCCTTGTGTTAGAAATGTTGGCCTGGGTTTGGAGTCCTGGAATTTAATCTGAGACCATCTTTCAGTCATCAAAAATGCATCATGAGCTGACCAGTAAATTTGCATTTCTCCGGGTTTGGGTGCACTTGCGAGGGTTTGATGCATATGGAAAACACAATGTGCCAGTGGATCCAAGGCCCTTCTGGGGCAGGGCAGAAGGATGGCCCTAAACACAGAAGTTAACAGAGCCTCTTGCAGTTCATTTACAGTTTTTCAGGATTTGAACCAGAACCATTCTGTACATGGTGCAGTAGGGCACTGTGCTATGAAACTTGGTCAAACCTACAAAGCACAATTGCTTCTCTCTCGTAATCTCTGACAATGCTCTCGAACTAACAAAAAGTAACTAAATCTATTTTTATGGCATGATCTTTTCCAAGTTTGGGTGTCAGAATTTTGCTGTATGCCTCTTACTTACAAGACACAATGTTGTCAGCATTATGGGGAGAATTTTTTACTGTAAGACTGACTTTTTCCTTTATCATAGAAGTATGGATCAGTTAAATTCTGCTGTACATAGGAAACTAATTTTCCACAAAAGAAGTCAACAGAGAAAAAGAATTTAAACACTAAATTAACACACCCCCCCCAACATAAGCAATGTTTTAGCCTAATGCCTCCTTGATGTCCAGAAAAAAATTTTACTAAGGGAGCTTTATAAGGAATTTGTGGAAAGTAGATCTAATATCTGATGTAATGTAAGTTATGGGCTTCATTGGTCATTTTTGTCTATGGGAAGGGGCAAAGGATGGAAGAGCAGAGTGAGTCTGCTGGAAGTCTGTCAATTGGAAACATTACCCAAACAGTGAGATTGCATGGCTGCATGCAGACTCAAAAAGACACAGATAATCAGATACCAGTGCATGCCTTTGAAAATGGGATATAAACATTAGAGGAAAGGATGCAAGGACAAAGAGAGTAGCACAGTTTTAAAATACAGAGGTTATTTAAGTGTATGTACATGTGTGTGTGCACTTACGTGATAACCAAGCAGGATAAAGAACTCAGATCTGTCAAACAATTATATTGAGTTAAAGGCTCATTTATAACGATTGACATTTTCCAAGTCCCTCCTTGAAACTGTGCTGGAAACTATATTAAAAAGCAGTACAGAGTGGTGTAAAATACATGGGGAGGCTGAGGAGGCATGCAGCAATGGGAGCTGTACCACCTAACACATCCCTCTATAGTAGTAGCTCAACTTCTTTCCAGGTGCTAGAAGTCACCTGTTTGCTCCTCGAGGTTGACAGAATGCTTCTGGCCTGGAACAACAAATTCTTCCTCGGTCAGCCCCATGGTATGGTTTAAAAGTCAGCATGGGTCTGGGACTACAGGTGGTTTAGATGCCATCACTCCTTTCTTAGAAGGCGATCTTGATTAGAATACAATGTATTTCAGCACGTGAGCATCACAATGAAGCAATGCCTTCCAAATGAAATGGCATGATTTGCACTCTGGCTGTGGTCCTTGGGTGTCACATGCCACCACCAGCTTCAAGGTGAGAAATGGTCAATAAAAGTGGCATACCAGTGTTTTTGTCTGATCTTCCCTCCTTTCTTCATCTCACACTCACCTGGAAAGGAATTGAAACCAGTAGTTGGCTTCAATAACATTTCTTTGGGGAAAAAAACTGAAGTAACTGGAATTTAAGGAGCTGGCGAACTGTGGCAGCAGAGGGTTTCTAGAGGCTCTTTGCATCTTGTTGTCCATAACAGGGCTTTATTCCTCTTGTGACTCAGGGGCAGGAAATGGGAATCTGATCAGAAAATGAGTTTGTTCCTACTGCAGGAAGCCTGAAACTGAGATGAGCAAATACCATGTGCAAAGTCCTAATGCAATGCGACATGTCAGAACTGCATCATGCTCCAAACACAGCAGAAAAAAAGTTGTTCAACAGTTTGAATTAACTGAAACTAGGAAGTATTTCTGAGCCATTTTTCTAAGTGCTGTCTATATAAGAAATGTTGCTGTTCCCGTACAAAATATGTAAGCATGTGTCATAGCTGGAAGGTAAATAGTGTGCACTCAGTGCTCAGGCATCCTCTCCATTGAGGGAAAGAGAAGTTTCTATGAAAAACCTCCCAAATGCTCTGGGAATGTAGCCTCAAGCACCAGGGGTCCCAATAAGAAAAATATTTTACATATTGGAGAGCACACAGAACCCACCAAATACATGTACACACACATTTCAAAATCCCCTATGCACTTGCCTCTGAATAGACTGTGACATTTCTAATAATCTGCTAAAAACAACATACACTTTAGGCTGAAAGATGTCATCAATTGTACCCTCACAAAGTTTGCCATTGATACCAAACTGAGTGTAGAAGTGAACACTTCATATGGGAGAGCTACTCTGCAGGAAAACCTGGATAGGCTGGAATACTGGTCTAACAACTACATTATGAAGTTCAGCAAGGACAAATGTAGGGTCTTGCACCTGGAAAAACATAATGCAGGACTGCAGCACAGCCTGGGAGCAGCTCTGTGGAAGGGGACCTGGGGATCCTGGTAGACAACAAGCTCAATATGAGTGAACAGTGTGCTTCTGCAGCAAAGAAAACTGACAGGATGCTGGGTTACATAAACAAGAACATCACCAGCTGAGACAAAAATGTCATTATCCCCCTGTACTCAGAGCTTGTGTCATGGATTAACCCCAAACAGTAGCCAAGAACCGCACAGCCCCTCATTCCCTCTTCCACCAGTGAGATCAGAGAGAGAACTATAAGCACAAAAGCTGGAAAACTCATGGATTGAGATAAAACCAGTTTAATAGGGAAAGTAAAAGTCACGCATGCAAGCAGAGCAAAGCAAGGAATTAGCTCTCAGGCAGAGCTTCAGCCATCTTCAGGAGAGCAGAGCCCCATCATGCATAACGCTGACTTGGAAAGGCAAACGCTACCATTCCAAATGCCCCTCCCTCCCTCCTTCTTCCACCTCCACCTTATATACTGAGCATGTTGTCATATGGTATGGAATATTCCTTGGGTCGTCTGGGGACAGCTGTCCTGGCTGTGTCTCCTCCAAGTTTCCCATGTGGTCCCAGTCTCCTTGCCAGTGTGGCAGTATGAAAAGCCAAAAAGACCTTGGGTCTGTGTAAGCACAGCTAAGCAATAACAAAAACTTCTGTATATTATCAACTGTGTTTTCAAAACAAATCCAAAACACAGCCCCTTAATAGCCACTGTGAAGAAAATTAACTCTACACAGCTTATCACACCATGCCTGGAATACTGTGCTCAGTTTTGGTCCCTGCTATGCAAGGTAAGATGTGGACAAGCTGGAGAGGGTCCAGAGAAAGGCCACAAAGATGATCAAAGGATGGACTGCCTGCCATATGAGGAGAGGCTGAGAGAACTGTTTCAAGTTTGTTCAGCCTTAAGAAAGAAGGTCTAATATAGACCTTATTACCATGTTCCAGTATTTAAAGAGTGGCTGCAACGGACATAGACACTCCCTTTTTAAAAGGAGTCACATGGAAAAGATGAAGGGTAAGGGGTACAAGTTAGTTCTGAGGAGATTCCTATTGGGCACAACAGGAAGATTTTTCACAATGAGACCAATCAGTCACAATGATAATTAGTCACTCATTTTTCACAATGAGAACAATCTCCCCAGGGAGGTGGTAGATTCCCCAGTGTTGGAACACTTTTAAGATTCAGCTGGACAGGGTGCTGGGTCAGTTTGATTTCTTTCCCACCTTGTAGTCTATGATTCCCTGATTCATTTATTTGTGCTTTCATTCTTCCTCTCTCTGTTCAACCTTGAATGTAGGGAGACACTTTGGTCTCATGGGGTTTATCATTGCACTCTGGCTGAGCAATATCTGAAGAGAGTATGCACTGAAAGCGTGGAAGCCTCTGACAGCTGAGGCAGATGATGGTAAGGCTGGTGAAGGAGTGTGCTGCCTCAGGATTAAACAACAACTGGGGACAGCAGTAGCTCTGGCACAATCTGCCAGCATTCATATGCATACCAAAAAGCTTTCAAACCTCCTCCACTACCAGGCCTTTCTTCTATCCTTCTGGCTGTGGTGCATCCC